TGCTCGCGGTGTAAACGTCGGTTGCGCGGACGGTCGATGCGAGACGCGCGATGCCTGGATGCTGTTTGTTAGCAGGATTAGTCAGGTTTCTTTTTTTTTTTTTTAAGGAAAAACAAAAATAATTTCCCTCGACTAGCAGCTTTGTGTTGCAGTTGAAAGCAATTTTATGCCGAAGCAAGGCACGCGTTTTTACAGATAACTATTTTAAGGAAAAAAAAAAAAAAGTATTTGTTACAGAAGCAGCATTTTTCAGCGCTCGTTCATTTTAAATAATGATGCCTGAATCCCACCTCGGAAATCACTAGAGATCAGACATATTTTTGTATTTAAATTTAGATGAGGCATTCTGTACATCGACTGTCCAGCAAAAAAAAAAAAAAATTACAGGAAAGTTTCATAAAAAGTCCCCTTGAAACATTTAAAATTATTTCACAACCTGACATATTGCAGAGACCAGAAAGTTTAACTAAATGTGATGCACTAACGACAGCTACAGGGCTTTGTTTAGTTGTTTTTAACTCCATATAGAGGTTTTTTTGGTGGGGAGGGGCAGAGGGGCTTCCTTTCCTTTCTTTAAGAGACAAATCCATCTTTACCCCGTGCTCCAGGGCTCAGAGGGAACCACGGGAACTGGAGAGACGGCGAGCAAACCTGTGATGGGAGGCTGGCATCCACCCACTTGTGCCAGGCAACCAAAAACGCCTTTCTGGGCAGAAAACGATTTGTTACACCCTGTTTTTAAAGGGCTCTGAAGGAGACGAGCAGAATACTCTGCTTCCACTACCAGGAAGGCTTTTGGGTTTGACTGTAATTAATTAAAAAAGGAAACAAGTTGACTACAACCCTCGAAAAATCCTCCCAGTTACACAAGCAGCAGCAATCGCCATACAGAACATTAAATTTAGAGGTCTTGCAAGAACTGCACGAGGTGTTTATCTGGACGTTCAGTTGTGTACTATTGCAGACGAAAATAAAACCATCCAACACCTGCACAACACCATCGAGTTTATTCTATCGTTTTCTGGAACAGCTGGAAGATGCCAACAAACACCCACTACCGCAGAGCAACCCATATCCATGGCAGTTGCATTAATTTTGTAAGCACTTTGCAGCAGCGCGTTTATTAACCTCTTCAGACCATGTTCTGTACGCTGTAAAAAAAGAATTCAGAGGTGAAAGGGACCAAAGATAATTATTTATGCTGCTATGTGTCACCACTTCCACTTGAATCCCTTTTCAAGGCTTTAAAGCTTTGAAATCTACAGGCAGCAACGCTGGATTCAATTATTGGTTTTGCACCCTAAACCCTTTAAGGTAGCTTCTAATTTTACTGCAGTGCTGTCAAGCCTGGAGGAAATAATGACATCTGAAAGTTCGTTTAAAAAATAACAAAAAAAAAAAAAAAAAAGGCCACAAAAATTTAAAAGGCGATAAAATTCAGCTGGGAAGCAGCACGACTGCAAAGGAAATTTTTTAAGGAAGCGAGTTTACTTGAGCTGCAAGTATTGGTCCTTGATAGCCACCACGTATGTGAGCACAAACCAAACCGCTGCCACCACCCAGTTCCAACTTCGTCCCACCACCCAGTGGACACGTCCCACGCTGGCCACAGGTGAGTGAGGTTTCGGGCAAGGCTCCGCTGTCACCAACCCGGAATATGTCTCCTATGGAACCATTCTGGTGGCACACAGCTGGAGAGCCACGGGGGCAGAGGTGCTCCGAGACCCCCCCGTTACGAGACAGCTTGCCCAAGGTGAGCTGCCAGGGGATGCCCTCCCCGAGCCCAACGCTGCAGCCAGACAATTCCTGCTCGCCTTTGTGCTTCCAGCTGCAGCTGTTACGCTGGGGAGTTAAGGTTGGGAACAAACTCCTTTAAGCACTGATTCCTTCTGCAAACACACCCACCTACGCCCCCCAGGACACAGGGTAGAGCAGAGCATGGCGTAGCAGACGGACTTTTTTCAAGTATCTATTTTCCAGCCCTAATTAAATACCACCCAGGCTCCACCAGCACCAAAATCCTCCACTGATTTTTTTCTACGTTATTACAGCAGCCCCTGTGACGGATTAGAGCAATTATGCATTTATTCCTTTTGTCTCCAGTGTTTTGGGTAAACCTGTGTAACACAAAATGGAAGATTTTTCAAAACTGATCCTGTCAATACACCTCACCCAATCTGAAATATACTTAAAAAAAAACAAACCACCAACACTGGGGACTAGTTGGGCAGCACAGCCAGGATTCAAGCCTCACGCTTTCCCCATTAGGCTTAATGTGATCATAACCCACACTGCCCAGTTTTGCTTATAGCCAAAACCAGTCCTGGAAGGATTTGTGCTGGTCATGCCTCCCTACTACACTTGGAGCAAGAGCGCACGGTAGCACGCTTGCCTCTCTTTTTCCCCTGTTTCTTGCTGCAACACCCATATGACAACCAAACCAGCTAAAGCCAATTCTTACTCCAGTCTCAAAAGCTCTCTCTGCACCAGAAATCCTCAGGGGAAGAGTCGGGGGGAGAAGGGAACCTCACTGCTGCTAACAAGGGAATAGCGCCATGGAATCCCGCGCTCGGCAGACAATGCGGAGAGCGGAATTAGCAGCTCACAGGCTGCTTCTGCTGGGCTTCCGTCCCAACAAGCTGAACCAGACAGAGAAGCACATGGCACTCTGCAAAAACCTTCCCCACAAAGGCCAAAGGCTCTCGGAAGCCCTTAGAAACTTGGTTTGACAACGTGTGGTTTTACTGTATCAGCTGCCCCAACGCCCCCACAGCGTTACCAACGTCACGGTGCAAAAGTGGCTGTGACAGACAGCGCTACCTGAGGCTCCCAACCAGAACAGAACAGAAAAACAAAGCAGACAGAGTCAGAGAAGTGGCAAAAACGCTGCAAGACAACTTCCATGCACGCTGTGTGGCGTTACGATTTCGATGCGTTGTGCCTGCAGTCCCTGCTGCATCAGCCAAGGAGATGGGGGTGTCATTCAACACACACACTGCAGGACAGAATTTACACCTACGTGAAATTCTGGGGCTGTTTCTCCAACAGCATGGAGAAACAGTCCCAGAAATCCAACACCAGACCTGGCTGTGCTGGCGCTGGACCATGTTAACACAAGTGTTTGCACACTGGGGAGACGGGCAGACTGGGAAGAAGAAAAGAAAAACTAAGAGCATAAGCTAAGAAGTCTTGAGCACCTTTATGAGAGGTCTCTGAGGTAGGTTCCAGCAGGAGGCAAATTTCAAACAGTTTGAACCTTAGTCTCAGTATAAAGGACTGGGAAATAGTGCTGTTACTGAGCAGCTGGGCGCTCCTCCTCCTTTCCCATTACTGGTCAGCAACCTTCCCACAGCTGAGTAACAGTTCTGACTTACCAAAACGGCCACAGAACTTAAAAGTTTAATACAGATCCCTGAAATTTATTTGAAACTAGCAGGCAGCATTGTAAATAGTCACATTTCCAGTACAAGAGTATATGCAGATGATGTTTTTACTGGGAACACACACACACTAAAAAAAAAAAAAAAAATCACATAAGTGAAATCACCTGCTGCTTTCAAGAAGCATTTTCATTCTGTGGCATTTTCATAAACTGATGACAAAGTCACTTATAATTTTGGATGAGGTTCTCCTGTCACATTCACTTGTTTTCATTTAACCACACAAAGCCATTCTCACGTGGACTTTCACAGACACGTTTATTCCTCCGGCTACTAGAATCTAACGTTTGCATTCAAGTAGTTTTTCAGGGAAGAGAAAGCCAATAAACATTCGAGGGGAAAAATCATGTAGATAAACACTGAGGATAAACCCTTCTATCCCCAAAACGTGTAGCTGATAGATTTCCTTACAGGAGATGAAAATCTGGTTGAAATCCTTGCCTTCAGATTACGTTTTCCCAGGCTGCAAGAAGCGTGCGACTCGGTAGCACGACGGATCTACTTTTAATGCAAAGCAGTGGCAGCACGGTCACGGCACGGGCCTTTGCCAGGGGGGGCTGGACAAGACTGGGAAGCTTACCTGTCCCCCTGCTTTCACTGGTGACACCGCTCCTGGGCTACAACCAGCTCAGGAACGCCCACCGACGCCGCAACCACGCGCGAGGGAAGCCTCGCTCAGCCGGAGAGCAGAACGTGCAGAACGGGGCCACGCTTCCATACCTGTCTTCCCCTGTCCATCCGATCCTCGGGTCTCTGCGGGTAACTCATCGGGCCGCCCAGCCCCTGGTACTGACCCGGCGGGTACTGGTTTTGGGATTGCAGCATGCGGTTCCAGGCAAGGAGAGGAGCAGCCCCAGCGGTTCTGTGTAAAGAAGAAACGCACCGCAGCATGAACTGAGCTGCCAGAGAGAGTTCCGCACCACAAAAATCCCAGTTTCTCCAGACTCCTATGACAAATGGTTCGGTTTGCCTCCCAGTTAAGCACTGTCGCATCCAGCTGTGCCTGCAGTGGTACTGCAGGTGGCCAAGTCGTTCAGAGACAAATGAGGGGGGGCGGGGGGAAAAATAACAGAATCTTCCAAGATTCTCCTATCAAAAGGCCACATTTGCTTCACCACAGCCCGAAAGCTACAGAACCAGGTACTAACGCAAGCAACAAATTTGCTTTACAAATCAGAGATTTTTCTCAAATTCCCTGGAAAGATTCTGTCCATCTTTTACTTTCGGGGCGAATTCGCCCGTTCATCCGCACCGGTCTTGAAGGTAGATGAAACCCCAGATATCACCGAGTGAGCTAAACGTAACGCACCATCCAAAGAGCAAACATGTGCGATACGGGAGAATGAGGCTTTCTTTTCTAAATGTCCAGACTCTTTCTGGGAGTCCATTCTTTCCAGTTAATTGCAGGTTGCAAATGAATTCTTACTGCGAGTATTCTGAATCTAGGGTAGGGGCCTTGGCTGCTTTTTCCCATCCATTATTCTGCTCAATATGTCAGAAGGTCTGATCGGGAAGAAACCTTTTCAAGTTCTATTGATGCCGTTTTCAATTGACCACGGTGACCTAGCAACATAAGCACTAATTGGCACGGACTGACTGACATTTGGTGTACAGTTTATATGGGAACGCAAATTCAACATCCATTACAAGCTAGTTTGCCATCCTAGATTACTAACAGCAAGAAATGTTTTAATTGCCTTCAAGTAGCTATTCTAACATTACAATTATATAGCAACAGGTATAATGCATCGAATCATTGTTTGATTAAAAATATTTAGAAAAATATAAAGAGCCATGATATAGTCTTTAAAGCTGAGCATGGGTAAGGGTGTGACTCCTCACTGAACTCAGAGCAGTTATGTTTTGCAGTTGTAAAGGGAAAAATATCGGGCAGTTGAGGCAGTTAATCTTTTCTGACCCCTGCTTGAGAGAGAGCCAGCTGAACAGCGTGCGGCCAGCCGGCTGCGAGGCAGGGCTAGCGGAGAGCACGAGCTCTGCATTTCACATCTACCTGCTGCACCGCTGAACCGAACGTTATTTTGTACGTCTTCGAAGAGCCTCTGCCTAGATCTGCTCGACTAATCTGGCAGGACTTCAGCCTTCGAGGAGGAACCCTACCCAGAGGCTGAATCCAAGATATTCTCTCAAAGGTACGGGCGGTTCAGGAGGAGGTTTGACTATCAGGACCGAGGGAGGATGCACAGCCAGCTGTACCACATTGGGAAAACTGAGCTCTGAGCAACTGAGGAAGCGATGCTGGGGGAGGAAGGACTTTGAAACACCCATTTCACCAGCTGGAACAGTGTTGGAATCAAGAGAGGTAAACATAAGATTAAAACGAATGAAAACAGGCGTTTCGAACGTGAAGACTTTCTGCTTTTGGATGCAAATTGCTTTTGGGTTCACACCAGAGCCTGCATGAGGGCTGCTCTACCTGGTCAGATTAAGACCTGAATTTTACAAAGGCAAGAGAAACTCCTACCATCTCCAGAAATTAAAATAACTTGATTCCTGTTTACAAAAGCGTGAGTCTTGCCTGATAAAAACGCAACTGGTAAATACGATGTGCAATCCGTGCAGCAAAAAATGAACATGCACAACAGCTAAATGGCAACACTGAACGTTGCAGGTTTATTTTTAGCTTCAGAGGAATGTCTAGGAACACACAACGTTATCCGGATGATTCATCAGAAGGAGCAATACTGCCTTCGAAGTTAATAGCACATTACACTTTCAGGGACTAAACACTCTAAAGCACTATTCTAAGTATGATATTCCTTCTGATTAAGTGTTTTGAACACTAACTTTTTTTTTTTTCCCCCCCATTATTCCTAGAAACCAGCAGACTCTCCAGGAAGAATACAGGGCTCAGCCTTAAGGAAAACTACAGGGAATTACCTACATAGCCCCAGCGCTAGGACTTCCATCGCCAGTCACTCTGCCTCTACAACTCTGCTAACGTGCTTGTGGCAAATACCTTCAGCGACTGATGGTCACAGGCCAACACTTGCTACATGCCTGGAACGGGAAAGTTTGGCACAAATCCCATTTGACATTAATATGTATTTGGCACAGAGTTCCAACTTTTTATTCTAATAAGGCGCTGCTTAGTGAAAAGGTGGGATATTTAACAAATGAAACACATTAATACTAATATCACTATTATGTCAGGGCATTTTTGCTTCGAGGCCATCTGAAAGAATGAAATTGGTGATTTTTAGTTAGAACCATCACATGTTCTAGAGGATAAACTTAGTAGGAAAAGAGGAAAAAAAAATAGCCGCAATGCATTTTCTGATCTTAAAGCCAGAAAAGCAGCTTACACCTTTTTGCTCCTCTTAATTCACAGAACTACGTGTTATTTTTAAAACTCAGAATTTCATATTTTTGTCTGATAAACAGAAATCAGGAAATCACAGTCCTCCCAGCACTTGACTGCATGTTCGTTTAGCGGATGTACTGGCTGGTGACTGAAGTTACCCGAGGGTGGAGATTTGTAGGCAGCAAAGCTGTGCCTCACGGGTAGCACAAAAAAGAATTGTGCCACTTGGAGTATCATATGAGTTCGCCTTGGCAGAGCTGCTCAAATGCATTATCCACAGTTATGTCAACTTACAACTCAACTAAAGCATCTACATACAGGACAGCTGAAATATAACTTTGGGAAACTTTATACACTAAAACATTTCTGTGTTCCAAGCTCAGCCTCTTTGGAAATCTCCTCTGGGCGAGGGGGGAACCAAAGGGTTTGAAGGCAAGAGCATGAAATAATCATCTGCAACCTCCAGTAACGCAGCCCAGTCAGACCAGGGCCTGAGGAGGACACGCTGAAAGGTGTCCTGTTCAGTGGCAACTCGCCGGTTTTGTTTTCCTCGTTGCACACTGAATGGCATCACTAAATTCACGTTAAGAAACCTTACACAGGAAACGAGATCATCTGCACTATGAAGCAGCAGCTTTACACTCATGGGTTTTTTTTCCCCCACCCAGGCCTGTGAAGCAAGAGCTAGTTTAGCCCCCACTGCAACATCCACCCTGAAACAGCACAAAGGCTCAAAGCTTTCCTGGCAGGGACAGGGCTCCTCGCTTATCCTTTGCTTGATGTCACAAATGAAGGATATCGTAGCCTCCTGCCAGCCCACTTCAGCTGAAAAGGCTGGAGCAGGGGCTGGCCTCTCTCTCAATTACTCTCTTCCTGGGAGCAGAGGGGATGGAGAACAGAAATTCCTCGATGGAGAACAGAAATTCCTCGCCGCCCTCCCTGGCGGCACCTCGTTGCTCCTGGAGCACCTGAAGCCGTAGCAGCACGCGGGGCCAGCAGCATGGGCACAGCAGCCTTCCTTCCTCCTGGGAATCCACTGGGAAACTGAAAACCTCTCGGGGGGGTTTCAGTTTGGGAGGTTCAGCCAATTTTTTCCTGCACCAAGCCTATCTATCTTTATGCTTCTGTTTAAACTTAATTAAGTCTCCATGCTTATCTTGGTATGGCAACTAATTCAACATCAGCCCTAACCATCTGCCGGAACGCTCTCCTTTCCCAAACCAAACACCTTCCAGGAACGTGGCAGAATCACCTATCTCAGCACTGAAACTGGTGACTTAGGGATTTCCATAAACCCTCAGAGGTGTAACAAAGCACCGCCGGGAGGGAAAGCATCGTAAATACGCTGTTGCCACTCGAAAGCTGGAACAACATTCTCCAAGCTTCTCTAAAGCTTGATTTCTAGGTGAAGATGATACATCTTCAATTTAAAGTCACCTCAGGGGACAACAGCTGCCTCAAGTTTGGGAACTGAATAGCGAGGTCAATGCTGCCACACTAGAAGCACGCCAGACAGGTTCGCAGATCGAATCATGAACTCTCTCTGTAAAAATGCTCTGAAGTACCTGGGCAGTGCGTGGTCACTTCAAAAAATAATAGCACAGACCAAGCACAGCAGCCTTGTGACAGAAATCTGGTTAGAGAGACGGTCGATTATCACGATTGTAGTAATCAAGTGTATTTCAAGTGAGAAACAAACAGAATTTCTGGCTGAAAGAAGTTACTTTTATGTGAATTGAGAAACTCTTCCACTTTGCAAAAAATAAACAGCCTGGTAAAATGACAAAAATATAGCATTATAAAAGTAGCGCCAAGTTACACACCTGTAGCGATAGTTCACAAAATGGTACTATATAAATTGGATTTAATTAAGGTGTGGGAATAGCAACTCCCATGGATAAAGTAATATTAAAGTTTGTAATGCAAGATTAATTTATAATGCAATATTACACATTGACGTGGCACAGGACAAGGGAGCCGGACTTATTTCAATGGGGATCAAAGTGGTTGCCATGGAAAGTGTGACTGTGGAGAGCTCAAGAAATTCTCCCAAAAGCTGATATTTTCCATGGTTAACATTTGCAAACAAAACCACGAAAAAAAAAAGTTGTGCTTCCGAGCAGAAACTTCAAAGATCTCACACACCCCCTCATCCCTCCATAAATACAAATAAACGTCATCATTCATCGCTTTCACAGGTACGCTGGAGTTTATAAAGTCCATCTGACTTAAGGACAGACAACCTACCAACGAAGGAACGCACGTAAAACATCCCTTATTATCAAACCATGTCACATTCCTTCTATTCGATGGCACTTATTGGACTGCAGATTCCATAATCCTTCCCTGAGTCCCTTCTGCATTTAATTCAGTTCAGTCTTAAGTAGTTAAAGAAACTGTTTTCAGTGGCAACTAATAACTACTGACCTACAGTGACACTGCCCTACAATGGGCTTGTCAGGCCTGAAAAACTTGTACCAAAGAAGCTGATTAGGACTTCAAGAGGTTTGTAGCAAGAATCAATGGCCGGTCTGTGCTAATGCTGAGGTTGCGGCACAGAAATGATAAAAGTGGAACACCATTAGTTATGCCTCATTAAGCTCCACAGCCCTCCTAAAAAGAAATTTGTTTAGCCTGTCCAAAATCTAATGCAGTTTTAAGCTCTCTGTGTTCAATTTCATAGTATCTCAAAAGCTTCAATAAGATAAAGGCCAAAGAACCAAGAACGGTACCAAAGCACCAACAGTAAAGTTAATTTTGAAGTCTGAGTTTTAATGGAAAGTGTTTTTGCCTTTTTTTTTTTTTAATACAAAGTACTCAAGCCTTTTAAAGGATGAACACCGCGCAGCGCACTCACAAAATATAAATAAATCATGGGCATTAATTAACTTTAAAACACCTGCTGTACAGCACGGTATCAACAAATTTAAACACCAAGGTTCGAAACAGGGGAAAAAAAACACCGTGAAGCACCTGGCAGAACCAAGTACATCCTCCCAGCCCCATTTTACAAAACTTCAGTCCCTCCTGCCTTACCTCTGCGGTGCCTGCTGAAACAAGGGCGTAGGACCTCGCCAAGACTCCTGGGGTCTGAGATCTGGAGGGTAAAACAAAATGTTGCAATAAAAAAGAGCAAATATACTCCGACAACTGTGCTCCGCTCGCTCTTACACACGCCTGAGAACTTGCTTTGAGTCAAACAGAAAAGCTCACGCTGGATATACCACCAAAGACATCCCACCAAGTCGTGGGTTTTGATAGAGCCCTTCTGTCCATCAGTGGCAAGCTTAGGATTAATGAAAGGCAACTTTTTTTGTTTGTTTTTATCGTGTCCAATAAGCTTCAGTTATAAGAAGAATGAATTTTAATTCCTAGAACTAGCGTTGGTTAGCACTTGGGACACTTCACAAGTATCTTCTCTTGAATTTTTAAAAATGCAAACCCATGTCTGTTACCATAACAACTGAAGATTTCATTTACTGTTTACATTTCTTACAAGTACATTCACCACGACACTATGTGAGAAAAACAGAGATACATACAGACACCTGCACACCGCTGTGTCATCGTCACAACACACCATGTTCGCGAGCAACAAACAGTTAATACTCAAAATATGTGCAGGTTTCCCTTTAATTAGGCTGACTTATTCTCAAAGTAAATTAAGAGAACGACCAGAGCATGTAGTAAAGCAGTTACACTTTATTCAGAGAGAGAGTGTGTTACATTTAGAATATGTTTAAGGATAGTAAAAATATATTTAAAAGTTAACCTAGACAACGATAATATAATAATAATAAAAAAATGTATTAATGATCCCTCAGATAATGTAATCAGACGGAATTAAAGCTTTTTGGGTAAAAACTTGGCCAGAGACCTAGCGCTGCAGTTGTAAGAAACTGCAGGGAAAAAGACCACCCACTTCTCAATTGTTTCTTCTACCCAAACTCACTCTTTGTAAAGACGTAGCAGTAACAACATTGCTTTAACAGGACACGCAATTAAACGGTGGTTGTTCCTCTAAATAAACTGGTCGGTAAACAGGATAAAAGCAGCAGCTAATCAATAGCTCCCCGGTCAGCTCACGACACTCGAGTTGTGCATCAATCAAAAGCTTCAGTTTCAGTGACACCTTTGATTATTTTCAATGGTGTTTAAGTCTGACCTAATTTCAACAGCTGGTTCCAGAAGTTGTCTAATGGACGCACTGCGACGGGACAGCCGTGCCCTGTTAAACTGCCAGTGTTCAAGTACACTAAAGCTTTGCAATCATTTGAAAGAAAAGGGGGGGGAAAAGGGAAAATAGAGAAAAAAAATTACATGTACACACACACACACATCAATCAAAACATACACCTCTCTCTATATATATACACACACAAACATATATACTGTTATCAGCTGATGCTCATGATCAGGTATAATTAGTTATTTTATGTGAACTGTAACCAAACCTGCCTACAGCATCCCGAGGACTAAAGATGGATACGTGGCACTTCTGTACTGATCTGCCCGTGAACGACAAGGACTTTTACGTGCATAAAAAGGCTGTAACTACACGATGCTGTAGTGATGCTGTGTTTGCTTTTGCACAGAAGATTAGTGAAACACAGAAAGCCCAGGCCCATAGTGTTGTTGTCAGCTACTTTGGGGGAAACGAGCAATTAAGACACCATGTTAAACAGAAAGCTTTTTTTAAAAAAAAGCCCCAACAACCAAAAAACCAAAAAAAAAAAGGTACAAAGATGAAATTGCTAAAAAACTCAGCCAAACCCACAAATATTTGGTAAAGCCAAAGAGTGTCACTATTTTCAATCAAAAAATATCCCAAGATGACTTTATTTCTAATAATTTCCAAGTGTCACAGAGAGAAATCCATGCAATACTGAAGAACTAGGCTCTGAAGACATGCCCAGAGCACAAAGCCCCTCTCTCTGCAGTTACTCACACCTGCAGCTCTCTGCCTGCAGCCCCCAGGACGAGGGTCAGGTTTTGGCTCTGCCACCTCAACCAGACCTGCAGGTCTCCTAGGCTCAATTCTCCTTTTGCTTGCTGGGAGACACAAACTTCCAGGAAAAAAAAATAAATCCTATATTCCAGGAAGAATAATGGCCATGTTTCCCCCTCCTGTGCCCTCTGTGCAGGCTGAGCTAGGCAAGATCAACAAGTATTTGGACAATTGTACAGATTAATACAGTTTCTCCCTCTCTGACCCTCCCTGGTCAGTGCTTCACGTTTTAATTGCAGTTTATTAACACATTTTCCATCCCCCTGCCAAACGGTGTCCTAGGGAGAAGCCCAGTGCTGGTCTTGCCCTGGCAGAGTGTTTCCCATTCGGATAGACCCCTGCTTAAGGGCCAGTTAAAAACACGTGTCCTATTTAATCACTTTCTTTCCATTGGAAAAAGGAAGGACCCAGCTCTCCTGCTGTAACCACATCTCTCTGCAGCTCTAGGGAACAGTTTAAGAAAGAGTTTAATGAAATCATCACAAAAACATTTAAAGCCACCTTATCACTGTTCATTTGTATGGCTGACAGAGAACAATCTTTGAGGGGAAAAAGCTTGGAGCAGTGAACTGCACTTCAAAAAGGCACAAAATCGGAGAAGAAACGACAATTAATATTTTCTTTAGTCTTCGAAACTTAGGCATTTCCTAGAGCTATAAGGCCAAATAAACTGCCTTCTCCAGCAGCTCCTCAAGTAACAATTTATCTAATCAGCGCGGCAATCAAAGATGAGATTTTGTGTTTACTGATTGCACTAATCAAAATCACTTTTCACGCGCAGCTAATTGACAAGTTTGCTGACTGAAATGAAAGTCCTACATCAGATACCCTGCGCTGCGGAAGCCAAACGTGCCATTCACAGAGCGCTGCCACGCTGCACTTGACTCCCCAAGTTATCAGCACAGACAATTATTCATCAGCTGAAAATTGGCACATTGAAGTCAAATCAGAGCCCAACGGTGAGGAACACCCACAGCAGCTCTCCAGGAAGGGGTGGCACTTGGGTTGACCGCATTGCCCTTCTAGAGTCTGATTTTACTTCATCATGTGTATAAAAACATAATACATACAATCAAAAGTTGCTCTGCATCAATCCCACAATATGTGGGAATTTTAACACATCGGCTCTGTTTTTTCAGGCTCGTGTGGGTTCAGGGCATTTCCCAATCCAACTATGTCACAGCACACAGCTGTTCTCTCCCAATCACAAAGCTGACGAACGCGACTTTGACACAAGATCTAACCTGCCCCATCAAGAAGATTCAGCACATGCCTTTCCGTTCCTTCTGATTTGATTTTCTAGCTGAAGATACCTGTGCTTTAACAGAGACACTTGTGCTTGACCTGAAGGAGGTGGCTGCAAAAGGCAAGAAGATAGCTGTGCTGTCAGATCTAGGAACACCTTTTGGTACTCCTAGGCAGAATGCTGTCTGGGTGAAATTGGCCCACGTCCTCAATCCTGCCCACGAATTTCCACCATCCATGCAGACTGTTCCTGCTCAACAAGACGACCACCACCTACTGCAGTGAGGTTCAGAGAGTTGCCGACGTGCTCCCACCTTGACAGGTTTGCTTCTCGCTCAACCCACACAATCCAGAATCCAGGATGTGTCACGGTGTCTGGGTGTGGTCCCACTTGCAAGAGCATCCTTCAGTGTGAATGTCAGAAGGGCTGATTTCAGCAGAAATTTTGGGCTACGATGCTTGGAGGTGTTCTTCTAACGAGGGTTTAAGCAACGGTTTAATTCTTTTTACCAGGGTCTTTACCTGGTAAAAGAGGAGTCAAGACACATGCGGCCACCTGGCATAGATTAAGCCAACCACTGCTGTAGTTACTTAGAAAGACTTCACATTCCAGTCAAAGTCAGAAGTTAATCAGAATTTAAGACTAATCTCCTAGGACAGCTTGGTATCCTTTGTAGAGGAGGAGGAGAAACACAACAAAATTAACCGACAAAGAATCTGTTTGCAGCACGTTGCACTGTGGTCTCCCACAAAAACAGAGAGTGCCAGGAACCAGCTTCTCGACCCCGGGATGAAGAGCCCCGGAGAGCCCCGGCAGGCGCACAACCCTGCTTTGTGAAAGAGCCTTTGTAGGACGACTGGCGGCGGCGGCGCGCGAAGCAGCGTGCTGCAACGGCGGCTGCTGGCACTGGCAGATTGACCTGGCACCTCTTCTTGCTGCTCGAGCAGGAGGGCACGAGATCAACCTCTGCCTAACGGAAAAAGCAGCATTAAGGGAAGTGGCACAACTGAGAGAAAGGGGGGGAAAAAAAAAAGCACCTTGCTCTCGTATTTGCCAGGCACACCTGCAGAACAGCAACTGGGGATGCCTGAAGCAATCTGAGGGTGAGGAAGGGGCAGGAGACGAGAGGAGGAAGGGACATATGAAAGAAAGCCACGAGACGCTTTCTCTGAGGCCAACAGATGGACTGGGATTTTGTATCGATCACTGGATTCAAGCCCCCTCAGTTGGAAAGAACGCTGGCACTGGGGCACGTTTGCATGTGGAGTGCTTCCTCCACAACACAAGGTGCGCAGGTGCCACGAGGACGAGAGCTTCAGAAGTACCTAACTGGTTTGAAAGAAGTATTTCCCACGAAGCGTCAAGACTTGAGCTTCAGAAGACTTGAACAGTATAGGGACTGATGGGCTCACAAATACTTTCTCTCTCCACAAAACCACACAGACTTTCTCTTTTTGGAGACTAACACAGAAACGTGATACCTGTCTAGTAGATCTGCCTTCTGATTCCCCACGTTCTTCTTTTTAGATCACTTTTCTTGCTTGTTTAAAAACCCCACTTCTTTTCCTTTAATCATAGTTAACAGCTCCAGGCTCTCACATTCAATCTCTCTCCACTTAAGCTGATCTGATTCCTCACACAAGAAAGCTTCTGCACCCATTACTCAACTGTGCTTCATCTGCTTTGGGACTGGACAATAAGTTCAATTCAGAGTGGCTATAAACATTATTTATTTGCTGTTTCATATCCAGCAAAAATGCAAGTCAAGTATAAAAAGGCTGACAGCCTCACTACGCAGTAATCTGGTCTGCTACACGTGACAAAATGTTGGGAGTTCAAACTTTATCTGTCAGCTGTTTAAACTTCAAACACTTGCATAATTTGATAGTGCAAGAATTCAGCTCAACAGTGAGAACTTCTTACTTTGAGGCACCTTTCTAGGCAGTTTAGCCATGTCTCCTCCTGTCTCAATCCCACCATTACAGAAACGCAGCTCCTAATCGCAGGCGAAGAGACAGGACTCTTAACTAGTGTCCTTTTTGGGAGCCTTTTGTGCAAACAATTCCTTCCCAGGATGAAGAACTTGGCTTTACGTAACATTGGATTTATCTTACCACTCCCAGTGACCCACCTGTTCGCAAAGCCAACAGCAGCAGCATCCCTGACCTCCTGACCATCTCCTACCACCTCTCTGCCAGAAACTGCAACCCCTACCGCAGGCAGGAGCAGCCAATACAGGGCTGTGAACTGGCAATTTCGGTTCAGTCTGGCACCTCAACACCAATCACAGCTCTTCTGTCAGTCTTACCATCACGCCTTGTGTGTTAATTATTTTCTGTGGCCAGCATCCCCCTCTTGTTGTTCTCGTCAGACGCGAAGCACCAAGCTTCTACTGAGTCTGCAGGTGCTGGTGATGCTGAGGTTCAGCCACATACTGAATGTGTTCTGGATAACAGACACTAGGAACCCTTCGTAGACAAAGTGCTGTTTTTCCTACTGCATTTTAATACTGGGCCCAGTATGTGAAACGGGATCCCACTTACAGGCACGTTTCACTACAGCAGTTCCATAAAGGAAGAGCAACAGAGGAGCAACACGAGGTTAATGAAGACAGATGCCTGAATCCATTTTTTTATTTGCTATAGTGCAACAGAGCAAACCAAAACTGTAATATTTTTCAAACTCTGAAATAAACAGAAAGCAGAACCCACTTACTTGACAACAATTTAGGAATCTGCTGCTGCCCACTCAGAAGCGGTCTGGCGTAGGGGCTCCCGTAAGTTCCAAGAGGTACCGCGTTGGCATACATTCCTGGCATCCCTCTT